ACCTATGCAAAACCAAGTTTCAAGATCACACCTATGTGTTCAGGCTGCAAAAGTGAACAGCCAAAAATTCTGGATAAGGGATCAGAGACCTTTTTCCTTCACCGCTTTCATCAGTGCTCCTCCTCGCTTGCCCGCAGAGCCCAGTCAAGCCTGCCTAGGAGCCCTGGCCTGGAGTCAGACCCTGAGCAGGTGCCTGCCCATAACTTTACATCTTAACTGCTACCCCAGCAAAGTTCACATCTCCACAGCCCTTAACCTTCAAAATGTTTTGCCCTCCCACACAGGTTTCATCTGTAGCATTTTAGACCCAAACATCTGTGCTCATCCAGTCTTGCCTTGCACCATGTTCCCAGCCTCATGCTTTACTTGTTTTGTCACAACCCTGATGTTCAGCCTCCCACTGGAGCTGCTTTGCCATCCACTGCTGCCAAAGAGGTGGTCTGCAAGCTATCAGCGCAGCTACGTTCAGTGCTTTGCATGCCTCTCTCCTGAAACACTTTGTCTTGCTGCAAGGAGCAGAACTATGTCTGCATTCAGGCAGTGGCTTCTTCAGGCCTGCAGATCAGAGGTTAACAGTCACTAATTACATGTTTAAGAAGCTGCTGATGGTAAAATAAAACAAAAAATAGTAATAGGTGGAAAATGTTTTGCAACCTTCAGCATTACAAAGAGAGACCTGACAGTTTAAATTCCAAATGGGAAGTAGTCACAGATTAGAAGTACTTGGAGGATTTCTTCCCAGTGAACTCGGAATTTTAAACCATTTGATTGCAAAAATATAGTGTTGTGGCCTGGCTAGAATGACCTGAAAGTAGATGCTGATATATCCAGTATGGGAATTCTAGAGTTTTAGTGCTCCTCAGCGTGGAATTGCCATATGCTGAGGACGATGTTATGTTGTGAGCTAACTGGCAGTAAGTTGTTAAGGTGTGTCCCTAGGATTGCATGGTAGTGACTGTCCGTTCTTCTAAAGATAAATTGTTTGACTCGGCTATGAGATGATTAAATCTTCAGAGAAATAAACTGCAGTCTGATCTGGATTTGCTCTAGAACTTGATGTCCTGTGGTTTCGTGGCAGAAAGTAGGAGAGAACTCCTTGACTAGTTGATGACTACTACAGGTGAAAATAATCAGTACTCATCAAAATGTCAAAAGGTATGTTTTGCCAAGAAGGCCGATGCAGAGAATTTGCAAATGTCATGGTGGTGAAAAAAGATGGGATTCTGTTAATTTTTCTTTAAATACTAAAATTGAAATTTTCAGGAAATTCCTTGAGTCCTTTCCTTTATTGAGAGGTATACAACAGACATGTAACATTCTTTGACGTTTTTCTCTGTGCAGCAAATCATGGACCAGTGTGTTTTCCAGTGCTCTGTTGCTGCAGATGACTAATATATTCAGAAAGAAACCTTATGCTTAGGAGGAAGCATTGCAAATTCTCAGCCATATTTTTCTCTCATGTTTATAGGATGAAGGAGGAGTTAATTTTTTGGTGCGTGTTCTGTTCTCATTTCTGTCGCTCTTACGTCTGCACAAATCTGCTAATATCAGTTCAGGTACACTAGATTTATGCTGCTCTAGCTAAGAATATTTGTCCCAGCGAGTGCAAAGTAAACAAAGAGAAACGGGTAATTAAAGATACCAAGGACATGCAGGAGACAAACTCTGGTGAGAATCCATCAAATGTGTCAGAACGGACAGTGAAAAATCATGGTACTTAGATGACAGCTAGAAGTCAAATGGACAGCAGAAAATAAGTTGTTTTCCTAAAGTATGTAGAAAAAAAAGCCAGAGTGAAAGAGATAGTACCTGAGAATGCATTGGAGATGCCAGTAACAGAAAGCTAAAAACCTAGGCTAGGGTCATAATAAGACGAAATAATCAGGAGCACATCTTGAGGACCAGCCTATAGATATTTGAATGAAAAGGGGAAGGAGACAGAAGAGAGTAACTGTAAACTGTCTTTTACTAAAAAAAAAAAAAAAATTTTCATGTGAGAGGTTGAAAACCAGTATGAAATGAAGAGAAATTTAATAGGCTAATGAGAGCAGAGAATATGTTAGCTTGATTAAATAGATGGAACAACATGAAAATAACTGAGCCAAGGTGAAGAAACATAGGTAACGAGAAATCTTTGAGGGAGTTGCGTACTAAAGTAGAAGTAATAGGCACAGAACAAAAACCACTGCTAAGACTCTTTACTAAACACTAGTTCTGCTGCTGGAGTTGTCAGCGTTCGTAGAGAAATTTTTACGATGTTTGTAAAATGCAGAACCACTCAGCCTTGCAGAGACAGATAAAAGATATACAGGTGATTGTGCAGTTCTCTAATGTTAGTACAAACCTTCAAGAGAAAAACAGTAAATTCAAAGAAGCACTCAAAGTGCTGAAGGTCTTAAAATCCAGAATTAGGAAGTTTTATGAATAATGATATTTTACCTTTCTACCTCATTCTGAGATTTTTTTTTTATGATTTTCCAAGGCGGGAATTTTAGATTAACCATGCAGAACTAGATGCAATAAGCTATATACCAGTAAGCTGAGGCAGCTTTAAATGGGGGGAAAGGCTACTTTTAAAAACATAATCGTCTGGATGACCAGCAAAGCACTCTCCAGGGTCACGCCTTCAGAGCAGCAAAGAATCGCATAGACTATTGAGTATGGTTTTATGAGGTGTCAAAGTATATTGACTTAGTTTGGGTTTTTCAAAAATAAAAGGCCCTGGTTTAGGAGCCTTTTTGTTGGAGGTAGGGAAGAGGCAATGATGCTCAATGTAACACAGCTAAATAAAGTGGTACAGGGTTATCCAGGGATGTTGACGTGATGTGTATGTTCATTTATCTTTCTGAACAGATATTAACACTCATTGAGGCCACTCTCCAAGTTCTTCCTGGCTCTTATGGTTAATGAAACTTGATTACTGAAAGGATAGTTACAGACGTATAACGATGCCTTCCAGGAAATCTCGGGATCTACCTATCTCTCTCGGAGGTGATTGCTGTAGACGTAATCTCAGGGCAGGCTCTGCTATAAGGAAAAGAACGACTGAAAAATCCAGATCATGCTCTCTTGGCAGCTGCTTCTGGGAGCCCCTGCTTGCCTTCCTACTGTTGGTATGCTTCACTTTCTGGAGATACCTCACACCGTGTCAGGCTTTCCCATCACCCTCCTTTCACTCATTAATACCACTCAGACAACAGTCCAACTCAGATGATCTAGATCTTTTAATCATCCAACATTTAATGAAGATCTGTTTTGGTCCTCCAAGGTCTGTGAAGTCACGTACAGGGAGCGTAGAGCATGTTTTCGTTAGCATGGTAGTTCGCATCAAAGTATGCTTTGGAAGCAAATGTCCCAGTCGGGAGAGGGTCTAATCATTCCCTGTCACATGCTGCAGGGCTTTTCAGCTACAGGAGGTCCTCAATCCATTGATGAAAAACAATGCCTTAAAACCTCATTTATGTTCTATTAACTGGTTGCAGGAATCTGACAGGAACACAAGCGCGTGTCAGCCTCCACGCTGAGGGCTACGTTTCCTTAGAGCATGCGCTGTACATCTGTGGCAGCCTTCGTGCCTCAGGGAGGCTGGCCAGAATTTCTGGAGACCAGACAAACTGGGAGATCTAGCAGAGCCTCACATAGGGCAGATTTGGCCTGTCCTCATCCTAGCATTAACGTTCTTCAGGGTATTTTCATTAGGCTGCATTTGTCTCTCTGGATTTCAAGTTGCCATTTTCCTCGCAACCATTTCTCAAAATAGCAAAAATGAGTCCGCCTCTGTTCAGATATTCCACCAGCTCATATTATCTGTGACTGAGCTGACAAACAGCTTGACAGGATTACTGGAATCTGCCAAAATACAATTTCAGAAATGACAATGCCAAGTGAGGTAATAATCTAAACGAACAGCAGTGCAGCTGAGCCTTCACCTTGCTGACTTTCTTTAATTCAATTAGAACGGGGCATGTCTGCCCTTGCTGGGGCCACTGCTTGTTTCGTAGTCTTTGGAAAAGTGTCTTTTTTTGTGTTCCTCTGTTAACACGTGATTACAGTTCACAGTTTATGGTTAGCTTGTTAACAAATTTAATGCATCTTCAAATTGTTTCTTCTATGCTGGGAATGACCTTAGTGTACTTAGCTGTTAAGAATTAGCGTGAGTGCAGGAAAGCCTGGGTTTTAATTAGCAGTTCAAACTCCACTGGATCTCCTAACAAATGAATAAGAGCTGCTTTAGTCTGCTGTTACTTACCTCGTCAGAAATCTCGCTTATAGGATTTAGCAAATTTATACTGCTTGTGGAGATGAGGTTCATCTTGTAGACTTTGTAACGTTACTGGGCTTGAAATGTACTTTCCTAATTGGAGCTTTCTTAGGCGTTAAAGCTGTTTTGGAAGATCTACAAGCAGGTAGTTTGGTTTTAATGTGAAAAATATTAACTGCCCTACTAAAACCTGTGTTTTTAACTCCCATACAGTATTGTAATGATACTATATTGCCAGGGAATTTAGTATTTTAAATCTTGTAGCGTTTGTAATTTCCTAATTCATACTTTTATGGATATTTTTTAAGATGCTCTTACATGTTCAGATATTATAAAACTATATTCTCTATGTAGCTCAACATCATCTAAATTCCACTCCCAGCTTGGTTTTAAACAGCTAAGAGAAAAAGCTTCTTCCTGCTTTCCCAACGCCTCCAGCAGTTGAGGGAATGACTTTCCTAGGGTACAACAGCAGGGAATTGTACCTTCAGTGGGAGCAGAAGGGAGCTGAAAATCGTAACTATGGTAGCTAAAAATACAGAAAAGATGATGGTTTGGCCATGTGAAGGTGATGCTAAAACCATTATCTATGTCTGTCTCCAAGAACAGATATTTTGCTGATGGTGAGATTGGACTGTTTCAGGATGCTTTTCTTAGAGCGTGGACTTGCATTTTAGCAAAAGGAACCAGATGAATCAGGATGAACTCCACTGCAAGCACATTTCTTCATCTATTGAAGCAAAAAGGAGTGTGACTCTAAATCTCATCTTCTAGCCTGGGTAAATATTGGTATTAGTAAAGAAATCTGCAGTTGTGTCTCACAAGTAAAGCGATTTATTTTGCTGGAGATTCTCACAGCAATCTTTACTGCTTATAGGAGTCATGAACACGTTGAGACTTTGGCTTAGCAGCATGAAGGATTGTTTAGGATGAGCACCTATGAGCACGTGTGCAGTAGGTCACTGAGGGAAGAAAGAGGCAAAGAGATTTTTTACTTTTAGAAGCTACTAATAGGTGTATTTGCCTCAGACCTTGTATTACAGCCCATGGAAGCAGGGAAGGGAGTAGTTTAAAATGTATATGATTTTAAATTATTATTCTTAGGAAATAGAAAACAGAAAAGAGTTTTAGGAATAAGAGATTAACGTTAAGGTTTGTTCTCTGTAGCCTTAATAGACCTGTGAAATCTGTAGTGAGTGCAAGGGGGTTTGGTTGGGGTGGGATTTTTTTTTTTTTTCTATTGGAATACGTGTCTGGAGATTGTCAGAACAATTACTAAATTCTATATTCTGTAGGTGCATTTGCTCTCTTAAATGTATATTTCCCCTAATTTTTCATCTCTAAGGTTTGAAGATTAGTTACACTGCGTATTTGAACTGTTTTCTCGGTTGTTAAAATTAAATAACTAGTTCTACTAGAATTCAGGTGTGAAATTACAGCTCATCAGACTTCAAGTGTTCTCTTGTGAGTTAGTCTTCTATGTCTTTTAGTATCCTTCAGGTGTCTCTAAATGCTGCTTTCTCAGGTCCCATTCTTTGTAAAAAATGCCTTTTTGGTTTATTTTTGACATGTTTTATGATTTAATGCCTTTAACAGTGAGAGCAACTATAATGCTTAGAGATCAGGAACATACTTCTGTTTACAGCAGAACTGTACAAAAATGCCTTTTGGAGATTTGGAAGCTATATATTCTCTTGAGCCATGGCTGCTTGGTTAGAAGGTTCCTGAGACTGTAAAATAATGTTTTGCTACGTCTTATTTTCTCATGTCATTGTTCATTCCGTGCCGTGCCGTGCTACGTGTTGACCTTTCATCACTGAAGCATAAAGGCGCGTGTTCTGGCAAGTTCAAGAGTGCATTGCATCTCGCCGCAGGAGACGCTTTTAGATGCGTGTCCTTGATCCAAAAAGCATGCTAGTTTAGAAAATGAAAGGTCACTTAGTTTTCTCAATTTAGTCAGAAGAACTTAGCTTGGATACCGCTTGATTAGCATTGTCAGAGCTATGGAAGCTCCATAAAACTGTGAAATGCACATTGTAATTTATCCTTTTCTGTGCAGCTCTGATCT